GTGGGTAAGGTACGCCCAGAGAGGAGCCCAACACCGCGTACCCTATTAAGCCGCCAAGCTGAAGTAATATGCGCCGGAGAAAGCCAGGTGCGGGAGGTAAGCTCCTATTCGGCCCCGGAGCATTGATTCCCCTTAACGAATAGGCTTAGCTCTATCTTCAATTGTGCCTATCCTGTGCTCGAGACCTCCAAGATCCCCCCCAGATTCCTCGGCGCACCTCGAGGTCTTCCTACATTGCCATTCTAGTTGGTCTTACATTTTGAGACTCGGGATATTCCGTACTTCATTGCCATGGCACCTTTCGCTCATCCTATTTCCGCCCGCCCGGCCGGCGCGGCGCCCCTTTTCATTGATCATCACCGCCCCTTTTTTCTTTCCTTCCCGGCTATTCATCTGCATGAACAGATCGTCAGTATGTTGCTCTGACTTTCGGTTGCCGATGCATATCCAAATAGGTAGGAGCTACATATGGCAGGATCAGTCACCGGCAAACCAACCCTCCTCCAGAAGAATGTGCATGCCCTCCCGCCATCCCTATAGAGCGAAAGAGCTGCCTGGTGCATCCCTAGGTCTGCCAGGCACCGCCCGGTCCTCTCGCGCCGCTGCCGCCGTTTCTAGGACCGACCGAACGCTCATCTGCACAGGTACCTACCGTAGGTGTAGTGTCGGTCGCACCCTCAACATAGCGTGCGGACTCATGTGGCCTTTCAGAACCAGGGGTTCTCGAGTCTGCTGCGTATCGATTAGCCAGCCTTGCGGCGGCAAAAGGAAAAGACGTTCCCCCATGCTACGGTTCCCTGCGGTCCAAAACCCGCGTACCGCCATTAGGTTAGGGGGCTGGCTTTCGCTCCTCTCCGTCGCGATTTGCGTCGCACTCCGCATCCCAAAGCGCGCTGCCCTCCTAGGCGCCGCAACACTAAGTAATCCAAGCCAATCACATTTCTCTGACTAACGGCGGATAATCATATTTCTTTAGAGGTTACTAATACAACTCCCATGAATGAGCAAACATGAAGTTGCATTAATGATAAAGATCTCTGGGGAAACCGCTAAAAAAGATTGAACATGTGGGAGGAATCCGAAGAATTCTTGCTTTCATTTCCCCCCGTATGGAGCACTGACGTTACTAAAAGCAAGGGTCCTTACTAAGGAAGGAGGAAATAAAGGAAAAGTCGTATGGGAAGCGCTGGGGGGAGTTTACGCTTCCGACCGACATTATCCAAAATTTTTCTCTGTCGAAGAAAGACCCTTCGGCCTTCAAATCCCAAAATGCTTGGTTGATTTCCCGCTTCTGTATTTGAGAGGGTCTCATTTCCCTATCTTCTTATGCCGATTAGCAGAGTTCTTTTGCTGATAAAGGACTCCTCCCCCCCGTTTTGTGCGTGGTATATCGAGTGCACGGAGCACCTCGACAGTTTCCCAATCCCCTGTCGGGCCAGGGTCGCCATTATTCTAATTATGTCCGCCTGACCTCGAAAAGTTTCTTGGGCGGTCTATTCCGCCCATCTTATGACTCGGCGGAGGAACGTCATATCTCGCCAAAA